GCTAATATCGATGATTCGTTTTTTGATCGAATCAATGAATTGTTAAACAAATTCAATCAATGGCACCAGCGTGACCAAGAAGAACAATAACGTCTATATCATTTTATTTTTAGATCATATGTTACTAATTTTATGCTTTATTGTAGTCCATGTATGTTGATATACTTATTCCATAATAATTCTATGTTTATCCTTTTGTGTGATGTAAATTAAATGCTGAATGGCGGTTCATGCAGGGAAAGAACATATCAATATTCGCATATTCATTCAAAAACATGAAAATTCTTAATGGAGTACCCTCATTTCTTATTGAATTCCTAAAAAAACAATATTTATAATAAATTTTAATAATTTTTTCGGATTTTTTTTTAAACTTTATTCTGACCGATCACCCGATTCTCGATCCAAATCGCCTATTCGCCTATCCAGATCGGTTTTTTGGGAACCCGATCCGAGTCACCGATCCGTTTTTTAAACCATCGGGTATGGTATTTCTATTGGCAGATGGACAAGGAAGTTAGATGTTCGACATAAACACCGAATAGCAAACGTTGCAAATATCTGACAAATCCTAAGTACGATTTATTTTTTTATAACTTTTGTTCAGTATTGGTAGTTACATACAGGCCCTTACTACTACACATGGTTGAAAACTCGCATGATTTCTCAGCTATCCAATATTAGAAATTCCAATATTAGAAATGCCAAACATGTTTTTTGCAATAAAAAAAGGTCGCGGGTGGCGGTGGTCACCGCAAATTTTTTGCAAAAATATGACCATACCAGAATAAGCACATTGAGAAAACCTGTCCATATGTAGTTATCCGTTTTATATATTTCGTATTTTACTTTTGAGATCCTACTTTTATAGAAAACATCATATTATACACAAATTTTGTTAGGATTTAAGAACCTTTTTAGATGCCGAAACAAGATCTTCAAAAGCTGGGTTTTCTCTTATTTGGGTATTTTTTATTTTTTTAATTGTTGAACCCTTTTATTTCTTTTAAAGGGTTGTGATGTCGAAGAGCATGAATGCCATAAATTTAAAATTCAACCGGGTAAATGGAGAAAATTTTAAAAATTTAAATATACTATACGTTCTCAAAAAATTAGACATTAGTGCAAATTATAATATATAAAAATCAATTATTGAAGGTAAGTGCAAATTATAAGATAAAGTGCCCATGTTAAACAATCAAGGTAAGATGCACCTCCAAATCCTCTTGGAAGATGCACTTCCGGTGTTGAATACTCTTACAATGGTCTGAAAATCTGTTTCCACACTAATTATGAAATTTAAAGCTCCAAAATAGGTGTGGATCGAGTAGATCTATAAACACTTTAAAATCTCAAAAATAGATAGTCTGATTAAGGTGTTACAAGATGCGCTGTATAATTTCTCATGTCCATACATCTTGAGGTCGAGATGATCGATCAGAGGCTTTTTTAATGTCAAAACAACATTTTTAATAGATTTTTGAGGTGTGTCTCACTTTTATGGTATAAATTTCACACTTTATATAATTTTTTCTATTTTTATGAACTTATAAATAGTGGGAGGCTGAATTTTATGTCCACAAAGTGGAAAGTATGTATAGAAAAAGCTTATATAAGGTTTCAACCTTATACTATTGAAGTGTTCCTAAAAAATCCTCTAGAAAAGAGTATTTAAACATTAAAAAACTTTATTTTTGATCAATTCGATTTCAAGATGTATGGATATAAAAATATAATAATTTCAAGTAAAAAATAGTACAACATATAACAAGTTATTTGAATTGTCTATTTTTAAATTTTCAAATATTTATAGATCTTGGATATTATTTAAAAAAAATTAAATTTTGTAACTCGGGATGAAAACAAATTTTCAAGTCCTTACAATAATATGAGTAATTATATAATGAGATCATTTATCTTTAGTATAAAGTGGTCACAATTGATGTTGACCACTAGATGCAATATTGGGTAGCTGCATTTATTTTATTGACCAAGCTCAACATCCAAAAAAAAAAAATTCAAACTTTATTATACATCCAATAATTGTGACCTCCTTGTAAGAAGAGTAATGATCCTATAAGACCTTCCCCCACCGATATATGTAGAACCCCAAAAGATCCCTATTAAAATTAACATAGATATCTAAAAAAGTTATCATATAGATGTGAGATTTGATTTTTCTATAGATTCATGCCAAATTTAATGATAATCCTTTGAGGTCCTATACAAATTAGTGGGGTCAAGACGTGGGTTGGTCCTATACAAATTAGTGGGGTCTAAGACGTGGGTTGGTATATTAAAGGGTCTGGACGTGGGGTTGGTATTTATGAGTGGAGGGGAAAAGTGTGACGTAATCTATCCTTTGATTTGGATCTCGCTAGGGTACTGACCCTCCAATGTAGTACTACAGAGACGTATCTATCGCACCCTAAAGAGCTCACTCTAAAGCCAAACGTTTTCACGCCATGTGATGGGTTGGAGACATGACAGGTTACAAACTTGGCTTTTTGGTAGGTACAAATTCCACTCACTAGAAAACAAATGCCCCTGCCTAGTTTCCAACTTTCCACTATATTTCTTCCCAGAGTATTCTCACTGGGTAGGGGTGGCAATCGGATAGGGTCGACTGACTGGGGCTGGGCGGGGTCTATGTTTTGGACCCTACGGCTTGGAGCCAAGCCCCAATGACTTGGACCCGACCAGCCATAAAATATATAAATAAATAAGTATATTAAATAATATATAATAAGTTTTTAATCTTTTAAAAAACTCAATTTGGCTCTGGGTCCAAAGGACTTAGACCCGAACGTAGTAAGTCCATGTCAGTTGGACCCGACCGGGTCTAGGTCGGGTATAAGCTATGAGACTTAGATGAGTTAAGGTCGACTAAGACCCAACCTGACCTATTGCAGCCCCTGTAACTAAAGTCTTTGCCGTGATGCTATCGAGAGAGAGGATCAAAAGATGTGGGGTAAGGAGGGCGTTAGAAGCTCCATTCCCTTGGTAATAGGCTGGGTGCTCGGTCCTAGTCCTACCTAATAAAACCAAAACCTGGGATAAAAAACGTCACCCAAGGGTAAGAAATGCCCTGGCCGGGCCAGCCTTGGCCCTAGCCTAGCCCTTATCCCCAAAGGGCCACACCAAGCTAGGCCGGGCCAAAAACAAATAAAACAAAACAAAAAGAAATAACATGAAAAAAAAAAAACAAAAAAAGTTCGGGCTAAGCCAAACCGCGCTAGCAATGGCCTTAGCCTGGCCCTTGGACTAGAGTTTGTGGCCCAGGCCCGAACTTTTAGGACCAAGTCGATAAGACCAGGCTGGGCCGCCCCACCCATTGCTAACCCTACCTGAGGGCCCCTTAATGAGTATGGCCTAGGGCACAACCCTATATTTAAGGAAGGAAAATACTTTGATAGGGTTGCAATCCTATCAAACTAAATAAACCCTCACCTCATAATTCATGGAAACTTGCAATTGGAGCATTAGAAATCTTTTGCATCGAGCATTAGAAAGCCTTTATATCAATAATGTCTTATTGAGCATTATGGTTATAAAAAAAACGAGGATTTTAAGCTTTTAAAATAGTATATATTATAATAAATTATCTAAACCGCTCATTTTACCTTAAATATAAGTATTAATAAATCCGCAAGAATTATATTATTTTTTTAATTTTAAATTATATTATCGGTATTAATAATTGATTTTAAAACTATCATGAAGATTTCCGTCTCCCAAAAATCTATTTCGAATGAGGATTTGAGATTACGTACATGTACAGAATTGAATAGCCTGTCCACGTTATGTCATCACAATCCATGATGCATAGTTGATTAGGACCAATTATCCACACCACCACTTGTAGAATGACATGTTTCGCTTTTATGTTAAGGGAATTTGTTTTATGCCGGTTGGACCATATATGTACTGCAATTATCCACACCACCACTAGTCGAAATGACATGTTTCGCTTTTATGTTAAGGAAATTTGTTTTATGTCGGTTGGACCATATATGTAATGCATTTATAAGAACCAAATATTAAGGTTTTTAGATATTGAGTTTTGTTTATATTATAAATCGGAGAGATTTTTAGAGGAAAATCCCTCTTATCCATACCATAAATTAATTTTAAAAGTGAGATAGAGTGGAGAAAATAAAATTTTGATATAAGGCCAAATCTATTAAAAAACAAATATATTTGTTCTCATATTAGTGGCAGAACCAGCATCAATCCAAAAAACACGAAAGATTGAATAAAAAAAATCATAAATCTAACAAAATAAATTAAAAATAAGAAAAAATGAGATGGTAAATAAGAACCACGTATATTTCGAACCACGTATGGTCATGTTGTTTCTCCTTTTCTATTATTGCAAATTCTACATGGTATTAAAACAAGCCGATTTGTCAATAACAATTTGTTGCTCATCAGTCGTTTTTTCATCTCTCTTGATGGTGGAGATTTTTTTTTTATGGATATTTCATCCATTGATTTCATGGTGTTGTTGGTGTGCCATATTTCTACATCTTACGTCCCGCTTATTCATCTTACAGTTGTCGTGCCGTTATTGTTGCGTCTTGCATCTTGGAGGGACAATAATCATCTTGCATCTTGCCTCTTGGGTTTGCAAATTTTGCAACTTGGGCGAGATGCAAATTTAGAGGGTATGTAATTTTGCAAACGTGATTTGCAAAGGACACTCGGAGAGTGGGTTCAAAGATGTTTTTAATCTCCAGAAGATACTTCGAGAAGTTATCTAGTACATGAATTGAAAACGGGATTGGTTGTACCACTTTGTTGATTTTGAGACTCAACTTCATTATCTGGTTTACCAAAAATATCTAATTGTAACTTCTATCACCTTTGGTCTTTGGCTGGTTTCGATTGAGGTATTTCCCTTTTTCTTTTCTTTTACTGATAAAGGTAGTATTCCGGTTCCTTTTAGCTCTTGTAATGGAAAACTCTAAATCTAACTTTAACATGAAATTTACAATTGTCTTTTTGAATGGGCTTAATTATTTTGTTTGGTCGAAAGCTGTTTTTCATTCTCTCTTTGGAAAATTTAAACTCGGATACATAATTAGGAAGAAAATCACGAATCTTGATTCCATAACCTCTAAAAAAAATGTTGAGAAATCTTTTTTGATTGCTAATAATGAAAAATATGAAACAAAAATGCCTCAAAATAATGGTGGAGGTAGAGACTCCAACAGATCTACAGCTCAAATCGCAACCATTCAAACTCATCACTACAACTGTGATCATTATCGGTAACCAAGTAACAATAATGACCCTTCCTCCACATAAGATCATTCTTCTCTATTCTCGGACACAAGTAACCCTTCTACTTCTATGTCTTCTTGTGATACTTTTTATTGGATAATAGACTCAGGAGCTACAGATCATATGACTAATAATTTACAGTGTCTATCCAACCTAAAAAATGATGAACATATGAACCTTGTGTCTATCGCCAATGGTTCCTTGATTCCTATCCATAGTGTTGGTAAGACCAATTTCTTCTCCAAATCTCAAAACTCTGAAATTCTTTTTATGTCATCATTCTCCTCTAACTTGATGTATTTTAGAAAAATTATTCAGAGCATAAATTGCAATGTTATTTTCTCTCCCAACTCTGTGAGTTTCCAAGACCGGGCCACAGGGAGGAAGATTGGTGAAGAAATACTGTCTCATGGGCTATATTTATTCAATCAAGAGAATAAGGCTTTGGTTGTCAGTCAAGATAATTCTGATATTAATAAATTGTGGCATTGGAGATTTAGACACCTTTCAGATAAAATTTTGAAAAGTTTAATGTCATCTCTATCTTTAAACTCTCATTCTTATGAAGTCTGTAAATTCTCAAAAAGGACAAGACTTTCTTTTCAGTCTTCTATACATGTTTCAAATGAACCCTTTCATTTGATACATTTTGATGTACAGGGACCAGCCCCAGTTGATTCTTATACCGGTTTAAAATATTTTGTTGCTTCTATTGATGATTGGTTCGGCGCTACTTGGGTATATTTATTGAAATAAAAAACATAAGTTTTTCATGTGTTCAAAGAATTTTCCAAACTGTTTCTACTCAATACAATGGTAAAATTAGATTTCTGAGGACTGATAATGGCATAGATTATGTGAACAAAGCGTTTTCTGAGCATTTATTGAATTTTGGTTTTATACACCAAACATCATGTGTTGGAACACCTAAGCAAAATGGAGTTGTTTAAAGGAAAAATACATATCTTTTTTAAGCTCTAAGGTCTTTGATGTTTCAGATGCATATTCTAAAAATTTATTAGTTTGAAGCTGTTTTAACTGCTTGTTATCTGATTAACAGAATTCCAGGTAAAAAATTTTAAGGATAAATCTCCCCTTGAAATTTTGAAAAATAAAAATATTAATTTGCCTCATTTGCAAGTATTTGGATGCATTTTTTATGTTCATGTGGCTGGGAACAACCAGAATAAACTTGATAGACGTTCAAGTAGATGTATTATTCTTGCATACTCCTCTATTTAAAAAGAATACAAATGTTATGATCCCACAACTAGAAAAATGTATATTTCCGTGGATATTCAATTTGTTGAAACGTAGACTTATTTCCATGACACATTAGAAAGTAGTTTAGAAAATAGGACTCAAGGGGAGTGTTCAAGATGTCATTTCCCTTGCCTAATATTGGTACCAGTGATGTGTTTAACACACTTGGAACAAGTCATGACGATCAAGTCAAAGCTGAAGATATCCCTGAAACGCATCAAACTGGTTTGGAAGAAGAAGACTTCGCCATAGTCGTGGCCCTACCTGATCCCCCCTTGTGCAGGTCTTCTCGTACCTCTCAACCTTCATCTAGACTTTAAGAAATTTATACTTACCATGCAGTTTCTTATCATGTTCAAAATCATATTTCCTATGAAAATATCTCTCCTGCCTATTTTGTTTTTTTTAGTTCTATTTTTAATAATTCTGAGCCAACCAATTTTCAAAATATTATTTCTCAACTTGTGTGGAGGAAGATTATGAAAGAGGAACTTCAAACACTTGACAAAAACCATTTTTGAGACATTGTCAGGCTACCTATAGGGAAGAAAGCAATTGGATGTAGATGGGTTTATAAAATCAAATATAATAGTGATGAGCTTGTTGAAAGGCATAAAGTCAGGTGCCAAATGATTTACTCAAACTTATGTAGTTGATTATAAAGATACTTTTACAGCAGTTGTCCAGATGATATTGCCCGTGTTATTTTGTCTTCACACTTAATTGTGGGCGGTCTCTACATTAGGTGGATGTTAAAAATGCCTTTTGACATGGTGACCTTGAAGAAAAAACCTATATAAGTCTTCCTCTAGGCCATTCTAAAGAAAATGAGAAAGACATTGTATGCAAATTAAAGAAGACATTGTATGGACTTAAACAATCACCTTGCGCATGGTACGCCAAACTCAGCTCAGCTTTGATAAGTATCGGGTTTCTTAAAAGTTCATAAAATTCTTCGATGTTTATAACAAAGGGGACCTCAGGTACAACAGTTGTACTCATTTATATTTATGATATTATCATTACAAATGATAATAAAGAAAGAATCATGCAACTTAAAAATTATCTTCACAAGAAATTTGACATCAAAGACCTTAGTCAACTAAAATATTTTTTTCGGCATTGAAGTAGCACATTCAAAAAAGGGATTCTTCATTCCTCTAAGGAAATATGTATTAGTTATGTTGAAAGAAACTGGAAAACTAGGAGTCAAACCCGTTGACACTTCTATTGATATTAATTGCAAACTTAATTCAACAAATGGAAAACCTCTTGAAGATATAGGCCCCTTTCATAGACTTGTAGGCAGATTGATTTATTTGATTATGACGAGACTAAATCATTAGTCTTGTGAGCCAATTTAAGCATGCTCCTAGATCATGTCATATAGAGGTTGTCGATAGGATTCTTAGATATCTTCAGTCGTCGCTCGGTAAAGGTATTTGGTTGAAATCGAATGTTCACACTAATATTATTGGTTATTCTAATGTTGACTGGGCAAGTAGTCCAATTGACAGAAGGTCCACTACTGGCTATTGTACAATGGTCGGAAGAATCTTAGTTACCTGAAAAAAAGAGAAACAAAATGTAGTTGCTCAATCTCTTGCAGAGGCCGAATATAGAGCTCTGGCTTCTTCTACAAGTGAATTGATATGGCTAAAATACTTATTTCGAGATATGGGGTTTCCAACGGTCAATCCAATGACGATGTTCTGTGATAATCAAGCAGGTATGCATCTAGCCGATAATCTAGTTTTTCATAAAAGAACCAAGTACATAGAAGTTGATTGTCACTTTATGAGAGAAAAGGTTCAGTAAAAAATTATTAGTACTCCTTATGTTCGAAGTGAAAACCAATTTGCAGACGTGTTTACCAAAGCTATGACAAAAACAAAGTTCCATCAGATATTGTTCAAGTTGGGCTCGATTGATATCTACGGACCACCTTGAGGGGGAGTGTTGACAGTTATAGGAACCAAATATTAAGTTTCCTATCTTGTATTTTAAAAGATACTAAGTTTCTTATATTGAGTTTGCTAAGTTTCCTATTTTGTGGGATTACTATTGTAATGTGATTTGTTTCCTAAAAGGCAAGAGTTGTAACTCTATAAATATTTGGTAAACCAAGGTAATCCCGATTAATGAGATACTGGTTTATCCTCCATGGAGGTAGGCACCATTGCCGAACCACGTATATGTCTTGTTGATTCTTCTATTCTATTATTGCAAATCTACAATATGCAGTCTAAAAAGTGTAAAGCATCCATCTTAAAGATGGATACAAGTAGGTGTTCCATCCAAAAACAATCGAAACTAACCGTCTAAATGTTTTTTTACGAGAATTATTATTTTTAGGTGTTAAAATTTATTTATTTTTTCATATTCAAGATCTCCATGTTAGATATTACATGTCCTTAAAAATAAGTCTTAAAATCCATGTAAAAAATATAATTATTAAGACGCCCACAGGAGCACTGCCTTGCACGAGATTTGTTGATTGCAATTGAGAATGGAAAGTGGATGTCATGTTGTACGTGAGGGGCGTTTGACAAATTCTCAGGTGCTGTGGTTTTCACATGTTTGAGAGCAATGAAATTGGAGAAAGTCTGAATTGTTTTTTTCTCCATTTCACTATTTTCTTGAGAAAAGTGGCAGACCAAAGACACCCCATCATTGAATCCCCGACTCTTTTATTCGGTGGTTTGACGACCATTTTATTGATAAATCATTCATTTGACTTCCTTAAGCAATTATTGGGTGGTTTGTCATTTTAACAATATTTTATTATAAATTTTTCGATTTTGGGGAGAGATAGAGTACCCCAATTTTTCAAAAAAAATCTTAACCCATTATTATCTCTAGAGAGAGCAAAAACTTTGATGCAACCGTGATAAAAAGATTGGGCAGTGGCATATGGGATTAGTACAAAATTGGGGCAACAAGTGGCAAAAATTTCATAGATATGTGATCAAATTTCAATATCAACCATACATTATAAGAAACATGTTAGATGGGTGTAGCAAGAAAATTTTATTTAAAATATATATTTTACATAATAAATCAATGAAATACATAACGATCGGTTAAAATAGGCAGTTCTTTGCTTTCCCACAACTAAACAAGTGAAAATAACAATATCACAATTTATCAAACAGGGTTTTCAATTTTTAGACTACCAATTTTCACTTTTTTCCCTGATTCTAAAAAAGTCAGCATCAAGAAGAATTCCGGATAAATTACAGAAAAAGTTATCAAACGCAACCTTATCAATGTCGGTTTGGCAAGCCGCTCCTATCCCTAGACCAAAAGATTATATGGAATCCTCCGGTGCCTGCCTGTTTTAAATTGAACTTTTTGATAGAATTTCTCTTAGATAACCAAAGACCTGTTAGTACAGGTGGTCTTAGGGATTCTCATATAATTTTTTTTATTATGCTGGGCCTTGTGGTGAAGTAAAAGCAAATTTGATAGGACTCAAATTGGGTTGTGAAATATTGGAATTAGGATACCTGGTTGTGGAGGGAGATTCGTTGAATGTTACTAAATGATGCGAAAAAGAGCAAAAGGTTTCGTAGGCTATAGATATCATTTGCTTATATAGCATTATGTTTTTTCATATCTATTAATTGGACTACTTATGTTGCATATAAAATTATAAATAATAATAATAATAATAATAATTTTTTAGAGAAAATATAAAAATTAATCATGAATCTCAATAAATTTTAAACATCACACTATAAAATATAGATTCTTTAAAAAACTCCTAAAATATACAAAGTTGAGTTCCTACTTTGTGGTAAAGACAAAAGAATATTTTCTAACATTCTAAAGTATATAATAATAGTAAAAATTAGTTATGAATAATTATGGATGCATAATAATTCATAAAATTATATTTAAAATTTTGAAGTGATGATATGCAAACTGTAGAAAATTTTAAAAGATTTCTAAAGTAAAATTCATTAATTTAAAATGTAAAATTTTCATACGAATTTTTAGTTGTGGAAATTAGTGTTCGTAAAATCGAATCAAAACAGTTAACGGGACATGGGCCTAGAAGTGGTTTAACCGGCCTAACCGGTAAACCAGCCGATTCAACGGCTCTAATCGGACAAGTCCCGGGCTGTCAAAATAGTGTTGAAAAAAATTTAAAAATACAAAAAAAAATATACTAAAATATGATAAGCATATAAAGAATGATTAAAAAATATCACATCCTTTCTAATGATCTAAATATATATATATACATATATATATATATATAAAATAACCCTATAGAGTAATAAAGCTATAAGTTCATAATGTAGTTTTATAAAACATAATCTTAAGCTTATCTTAGAAAAAGAAACGGTGAGATTAGTCCATTGTTAGTATAGTTGGAATAGGAAGGCTTAAGTATATACAACGAAATCAACTCATGGTATTTACCAATGTTGGCAAAACCCGTTGGGTTTGAGTAATTAGGAACCGGCTAATTGCTATGGTCAGTTTTGGCCGGTTAGACTGGTCAAGCGAAGAGTACTAAAAATAAAAAATAAAATATAAAAAATCCAAAAAAATAAGAAATTTATTTATAATAGTTTTTTAATGTTTCTATTGTTTTGGAAAAGATGACAAGTATTTTGCTATTTTGACCACAAATACTGTTTTTTACTTTTTTTTTCTTTTTAGTTAGATTATTTTTACAATACCACTGGGTAAAATTGATTATTTAAAATCCACTTTTTCACTACTTTTTTAATATCGTTTGAATGTATTTTGTTTAATTATACTTTAAGCACACTTTTCATAGTTTTTTTTGCTTTTTTGTGCTTTTTTTATTCTTTTTAATCTATTTTAGCCCGGCCGAGACATACCCGGCTAGAGATGGATACCCAAGATTCCGTTCCCGGATCGTGTTTTCTAACACGGATAAGAAAGAAATGAGAGAAGACGCTTATATAGAGCAGATGACATGCACGGGAGAGAGTGAAGGTATTTGTGGCCTATTTTGTGATGGAAATCAATTGGATGAAACGGGGCAAGAAAAATAAAAAAAAAACCAATTAATCAAACTCCCTTATGTATAAAAAAAAAGAATTCGTTCTTGGGATACAAAAATATAAAAGGTCTCTTGTTGCACCTCCTTCATAAGTACCAAAATTTTGCATTTTAGTGAGAGAAACATAAAAATCCTTTTTTATAAAGGAAAAAGTTTATATAAGGTTGCAACCTTAAAATGTAGAATTACATATGCACCTCAAAAATCCATGAAAAAAGGTTGTTTTAATGTTGAAAAACCCTCTAATAAATCATCTCGGCATCGAGATATATGAATATAAAAAAAAAAAAAGATTTTGAGTCCCAAAAATACTGCACCTTGCAACACATTATCTAGACCATTCATTTTCAAGATTGTCATATGTTTATAGATCTACTTGATTTTAATCATTTTTAGAGTGCAACACATTATCTAGACCATTCATTTTCAAGATTTTCAAATGTTTATAGATCTACTTGATTTTAACTATTTTTAGAGGTTCAAATTTTATAATTAGAGATAAAAAATAGATTTTAAGATAATCTTAAGAAATTTTAACGCCAAAATTACACGTTTTGATAAAATTTGAAGGTGCACCTTACCTTAATTGGATTGTTTAAGATTGCAAACCACACCCTTTTGTAAATCAAAAGAATAGGATCTTGTATTTTTGAGAGAGAAGAGAAAAAACCTGCCATGATCGTCACAAAAATCGGCCCTTCACGCCCCAGGCACACTCGGTGCTATGAATGTACAATATCATTCTCACCCGTGTTCTAACAATTTAAACTATGAGTATGCCTACACTAAATTACCACTCAATTCACACCCTTTATCTTCAATATGGGACAATAAACGTTTGGCTCTCTTTCTCTTATCTTCAATATGGGACAATAAACGTATGGCTCTCTTTCTCTATAAAATAAAGCTTTAAGAAAACTAAAAAAATGCTATGTTATTTTGAGATACATACGAATATATGATAAATTAAAAAGTACACAAGAATACTTTATAAAATAAAAAATATTGACACTTTGCACAGGGCATCTGGTTCTCTATAAAAGGGCTTCCCTTCGAATATACTGAATTTGTGCCACTATATCTCTTTTATACTTCATACATTTTACGCAACCAAAAATATTAACACTTAGAACAATAAAGCAACGATTTATGCGTCCACCCGAAATAAAACAAAGTCAATGAAAGGGCATCTGGTTCTCTATAAAAAGGATGCAAGTTGACATTCATATACACTGAATTTGTGACACATCACTCTCTTACTTTATTGCAAGCGTGTGCATTCAAACAACTGAGTTTCGTATTTCGATCATCTATTTTGTTTTAGAGTGACAAACGTAGGGACCATCAGTTATTCAGACGGGTATCGTGCAACTGCCTAATTTTGTTTTTATTTTTTATTTTTATTTAACAATGATATTTACTCGAGATCTAAGGTATTTTCGTATTTTTATATTGTGTATAAAATAAAAATTATTTTGAACAAAAAAGTTGATTAAAATAATATAAAGACATTTTGTTCAACTTTTTTATTCAAATTATTTTTTATTTGGTTCAACAGATAAAGAAATTTATAACCTGAATTTTAAATAAAAATCATTTTTAAATAAAATTTATAAATTCTTTTAGGGAAAAGTTTATGTAAGTTACAACCTCAAAATGTAGAATTACAGATGTATCTCAAAAAATGTATCGAAAATGTTGTTTTAATATTGAAAAATCCTCTAATTGATTATCTCGACATCGAGATGTATACATATAAAAAAAGAAACAAGGGTTTTTAAATTACAGAAATAGTGCATCTTGGAACACATTATCTTGACCGTCTATTTTCAAGATTTTTATGTCTTTATAGATCTACTAGATTTTAACGCTTTTTTTAATTTAAAATTTTTTAATTAGATATGAAAATAGATTTTAAGATAATCCTAAAAACAAATACCACAAAAACACATGTTATGATAAAATTTGGAAGTGCGCCTTAATTCGATTGATTAAAGTTGCAACTTTATAGACGCACCCATTCTTTTATGGGTACACGTTTGATGTAAGTAATTTAAACTGTGCCTGTACATCGTTCTCTTTTATTTTAAACGTTTCAAATTATTTTCATGAAAATCA